TATTCCTGCATAGCAACAAATCTTCCCAAAGTGTAATCTAACTACTTTAATTCATTTGTTTATTGACCATGGCTGCTTTCCCACCACAACTGCTAAACCGAGTAGTTTATATATAAGACTGCAAAACCTAAAATATGGACTCGGATACTTTACAGGAAAAGTTTGCTGACCTTTTCCCTAGAACAGATAATTATGTTTTGGTCTTGGGACCCCCTTGATACCCTTAAAAATTATTCTGGATTCCAGAGAGTTTTTGTTTCATATTGGTTACATCTATTAATATTTGTGAATAACTCATAAAATGAAAAGTAAAATGTTTAAGAATGTATTTAAAAGCATAAGCTTAATACATGTTAATATAACTTTTAAAATAAGAAATCATTATAGTTTCTAAAACTAAAATGGAGAAGAATGTGATTATTTCATATTTTTGCAAATCTCTTTAATGTCTGGCTCAGTAAGGGATAGCTGAATTCTCATATCTATATCTACTGTCAACTAAAGAAAAATACCCAGGTTTTAAAGAATTAAAGTCAGCTTAATTTAGAGTTAGGATTGCAGCCTTTCGGAGTTTCTGTTATACTGCTTTGAAGAAGTGTTTTAGCCCACAGCTTACATATCAAGTGTTGAAATCTCTGCATGTACTCAGAAATTACATTAAACATGCTCATAAAGTGAGTATAGTGGCTCACACCTGTAATTCTAGCACTTTGGGAGGCCTATGCATGAGGATCTCTTGAGGCCAGGAGTTCAAGACCAATCTGGGCAACCTAGTGAGACCCCCCCCATCTCTAAAAAAAATTTTTTTTTTTAATTTGCCAGGTGTAGTGGTGTGCACCTGTAGTCTCAGCTACTTGGGAGGCAGAGGCAGGAGGACCACTTAAGCCCAGGAGTTCCAGGTTGCTGTAAGCCATGACTATGCCACTGCATACTAGCCTGGGCGATAAAGTGAAACTGTCTCTTAAAAAAAAAGCTCATACCTTACATTAAAGCAAAATCTCATCGAAGTTTGGATTTAAAAGTACATCTAGTTATAGATTACAGAGGCATAATCATGAATCCTATGGGACACTGTTATATACTGGAAGGGACAAGGGCTAGCAACATTGAACTTACCTTTTAAAAAAATGCATTGATTCAAGCAAGAGATGTGGGAACCTGTTTTCTAGTCTGCTTATTGTCTCCAAGGCATTCTTCTAGAGAGTTGTACTCAGTCACTGAGTTGGGCTTTGTGAAATTCTCCTGGCAAGGAATTTTGTGAAATTCTTCTGGTAAGCAGAATAAGCAAACATGGTTGTTTATGTTTGCTACTTTTTCTAACATGACAACATGTTGTGACTTATTTAGTTGAAGTATAATATTTGATGAAGAGGTGGGGCACGGTGGCTCACGGCTATAATCCCAGCACTTTGGGATGCCGAGATGGGTGAATCACCTGAGGTTGGGAGTTTGAGACCAGCCTAACCAACATGGTGAAACCTCATCTCTACTAAAAAATATAAAATTAGCTGGGTGTGGTGGCAAGCCCCTGTAATCCCAGCTACTCAGGAGGCTGAGGCAGGAGAATTGCTTGAACCCGGGAGGCAGAGGTTGCGGTGAGCCAAGGTCATACTATTGCACTTGAGCCTGGGCAACAAGAGCAAAACTCCATCTAAAAAAAAAAATGTGTATATATATATATATATATATATATGCGCGTGCGCGCGCGCACACACACACACACACACACACACACACACATATATGTAAAGAAAAGCTGGCCTCAGTTACGTATTTAGGAAAAGGAGAAGTATTTTAATAATTGGCAACAAGTATAGACAATTGTTTTTCTCTCTTTTTTTTTTTTGAGAAAGAGTTTTTCTCTTGTCGCCCAGGCTGGGGTGCAATGGTTTGATCTTGGCTCACCACAACCTCCACCTCCCAGGTTCAAGCAATTCTCCTGCTTCGGCCTCCTGAGTAGCTGGAACTACAGGCACACGCCATCGTGCTTGGCTAATTTTCTGTATTTTTAGTAGAGATGGAGTTTCACTGTGTTAGCCAGGCTGGTCTCAAACTACTGACCTCAGGTGATCCTCCCAAAGTGCTGGGATTATTGGTGTGAGCCACCATGACCAACCTGTTTTTCTTAAGTGATAAATTCATTTCATTTATTTTTGAGAAAATGTTTGCCAGATACCTAAATCTGGGCAACTGTACTTTGTGAGTCATTCCTTCAAGTAAAAATGATGTTCCATGGAAAAAAGCTAACAACTCAATTAACAAGTGATTTTCTTTTAGATGACCATCATACTTAGATATACATTAGCTGGGCATGGTGGCATGTGCCTGTGGTCCTATCTACTCAGGAAGTTGAGGCTAAAGTGCTTCATGACTGAACTTTTTTTTTAAAAGATGGGGTTTCACCATGTTGATCAGGCTGGTCTTGAACTCCTGACCTCAGGTGATCCGTCCGCCTAGGCCTTCAAAGTGCTTGGATTACAGGCGTGAGCCACCATGCCTGGCCTATGATTGAGCTTGTAAATAGCCACTGCACTCCAGTCTGGGTCACATAGTGAGACCCCCATCTGTAAGAAATTTTTTTTAAATGAACTTTATGACTACTTCTCATTTTGTCATACTGAGTATTAAAAAGATGTATAATTAAGGGTCAGGATTTAGTGAAATGAATACTGTTTATGGCTTTATTAAGGATATTCTTAAGGGAAACTGATTTTGTTTACACTGAGTATGTAACTGTGAAGCATACAATGACTACTACAACATTTTGCATCCTACTGCCTTGATTTATATTAGGGCACTGTTTTAATTTAGGAATTTTAAGATACAGCATGCTCCTTTAATGATTAGGAGAAACACAGATTTAAGTAAAAATTTTATTACTTGCAGGTCCTGGGGGGCATCTGGCACACGTGGAGGTCAAGGAATGAAGTCAGGGAAAGAGAAAGAGGGACTCATGGGCCAATGCCTTCACTGGGTTAAGGGTGTTATCCAAATAGATTTCCCAAGAGGAATTGCCACAATTTAATTGGTGGGTTTAAAGCAAGCAAGCACGTTTGAGGACAAGCTTGTTCCACCTGCGGCCCATGGGCCACATGTGGCCCAGAATGGCTTTGAATGTGGCCCAACACAAATTCATAAACTTTCTTAAAATATGAGATTTGTGATTTTTTTTTTTGTTTTGTTTTAGCTCTCAGCTTTGTTAATGTATTTTATGTATTGCCTAAGACAATTCTTCCAGTGTGGACCAGGGAAATCACTCCAGCCTGGGAAACAAGAGTGATACTCCATCTCAAACCGAAAAAAAAAAAGAAAAAAAGAATTCACTACAAGAACCAGCAGATTTATCCACTGTTAACCTGTTTCCCATTTTTCCCAGCGTTTACTCTAAGATAACTCTTAAATTATAGTCCTAAATTAACCCCTGAAGTTCATGTTTACTATTTTATTATTTTTGTATCACTCTATTGTCTTTGGAAACAAAAGACATTATTCTATTTATAGCATTCTGTTTTTAGTAGTGGAATTTCCGTTTACAAAATATAGTAATTATCACTGAAAATGTCAAATCCTAGAAAACATAGCATTACTATGTGTGATGTTAATTCTGTGGTGAACTTATGGCGCTGAAATCGTGTGACAAGAAGGAAGTGACAAAATTGTCAATATTCCATAATACTGTGACTGAAGTAGACAACAGAAATGGAAAGAAATCTAAGAAGCCATGTGTCATTGTGAATCCACAATAATGACAATATGGGAGCAGTGGACTCAGCTGATCAGATGCCCATTTCTTATTCAGCTGAGCGCAAAAGACATAAGTTTTGGTATAAGATGGTATAAGATATTCTCTTTTTTTTGAGACGGAGTCTTGCTCTGTTGCCCAGGCTGGAGTGCAGTGGCACAATCTCAGCTCACTGCAACCTCCACCTCCCGGGTTCAAGTGATTCTCCTGCCTCAGCCTCTCAAGTAGCTCGGATTACAGGTGCTCACCACCACACCTGGCTAATTTTTGTATTTTTCGTAGAGATGGAGTTTCACCATATTGGCCAGGCTGGTCTTGAACCCCTGACCTTGTGATCTGCCTGCCTCGGCCCAAAGTGCTGGAATTATAGGTGTGAGCCACCGGGCTGGCCAAGATATTCTTTCATAGGCCAGGTGCAGTGGCTCATGCCTGTAATCTCAGCACTTAGGGAGGCCTAGGCCAATGGAGCTCTTGAGATCAGGAGGTTGAGACCAGCCTGGGTAACATGAGGAAACCCTGTCTCTACAAGTCATACAAAAATTAAGCAGGGCAGAGTGGCTCACGTCTGTAATCCCAGCACTTTGGGAGGCCAGGGTGATCCTGCCAAGAACACCGTCTGCAATCCCAGCATTTTGGGAGGTCGAGGCAGGTGGATCATTTGAGGTCAGGATTTCGAAACCAGCCTGGCCAACATGGTGAACCCTCATCTCTACTAAAAATAAAATAACAAAAATTAGCCGGCGTGTTGGTGGAGGCCTGTAATCCCAGCTGTTTGAGAGGCTGGGACAGAAGAATTGCTTGAACGGCGGAGGCGGAGGTTGCAGTGAACTGAGATCACACCACTGCACTCCAGCCTGGCACCTGGCAATGGAGTAAGACAATGTCTCAAAAAAAGGTCATTGCACTCCTGCCTGGGTGACAGAGCTACACTCCGTCTCAAACTCCCCCCCTCCCCCTGCCTACGAACCCCTCCCCCCAAAAAAAAAGGAAAACAAAAATTACGCGGCGGGCGCCTGTAATCCCAGATACTCGCTTGAACCCGGGAAGCAGAGAACCCGGGAGGCGGAGGTTGCAGTGAGTTGAGATCGGGCCACTGCACGCCAGCCTGTGTGGCAGAGACTCTGTCTCCAAAAATAAAATAAAAGAAAAAAAGTAAAGGGTGTTACAGAAACTCCAGATACTTTTGCTCTCCAGACGTCTGAGTTGCGCTGCGCTTTCCCGCCAGTCCGGTAGGGCGGCGCTGCGCAGGAAGCCGCAGTCCCTCTGCGGAAGGCGCCGCTCTTGGCGTCGGCGGCGCCGCTGTCGTTTAGGGGCGGCACTTCCTCCCGGATTTGCCGCGGGTTAGTGGCACATTCTGCAGTTGTTTGGGCTGCTGTTGTGGCTCGTTCTGCGGTGTGCGGCCAGCCATGGAGCGCTCAGGGCCCAGCGAAGGTGGGTTCCGTGAGGCGACTCTGGGCAGGGTGGGCCGTGTCGGGGGAGCCGGGGCGCCGCACTAACGAGGCTTCTTCTCTTTTCTTGCCCCAGTGACAGGCTCGGACACGTCGGGACCGGACCCGCAGCTTGCGGTCACGATGGGCTTCACGGGATTCGGTGAGTGACTACCCTAGGCAGAGCCCCTTTTCCTTTTGCAGAGGTCTGAATAGCCGCAGACTGGGAGGGATGGTCGAGCTGTCAACTCGGAATTACTGAAGCTCAGGTGTCTACCTTGTAGTTTGTTCACACTCTTCCCCTGTTTGTATTTTAATCTGCTTATCCTTGGAACCAACTCAGGTGACAGTTTGAGAGTCCTTGAGAGAGAAAAAGAGAAATGATATTTCTATTTCTTTTTTTTTTTTTTTTTTGAGACGGAGTTTCGCTCTTGTTACTCAGGCTGGAGTGCAATGGCGCGATCTCGGCTCACCGCAACCTCCGCCTCCTGGGTTCAGGCAATTCTCCTGCCTCACCCTCCTGAGTAGCTGGGATTACAGGCACACGCCACTATGCCCAGCTGAATTTTTTGTGTTTTTAGTAGCGACGGGGTTTCACCATGTTGACCAGGATGGTCTCGATCTCTTGACCTCGTGATCCACCCGCCTCGGCCTCCCAAAGTGCTGGGATTACAGGCGTGAGCCACCGCGCCCGGCGAGAAATGATATTTCTAATTTGAACTTACCAATAATGCCAAAATGAACATTTTTGTAAATAACCTTTGTATGATACAAGGATCTTTTAAAATTTTTGTAGGGTAGATTTCTAAAAGAGAGACTATTCAGAAATATAAATATTTAAAAAACTGAACAATTGGGTATGTGCCTTTTAAAGCTTCTCGATGGTTATTTCTGTAATATCCATCACAACAACAAAAGTTGCTTCGTTTATGTCAAAGTTAATATAATTTAAGAACGCCATTTTTACTGTATCCCTGCCAACGCAGAGTAGGTATTATTTAAAAAAAAATTATTTAAGGCCGGGTGTGGTGGCTCACGCCTGTAATCCCAGCACTTTGGGAGTCCGAGGCGGGCGGATCACGAGGTCAAGAGGTCGGGACCATCTTGGCCAACATGGTGAAACCCCGTCTCTACTAAAAATATGAAAAAATTAGCTGGGCGTGGTGGCGCGCGCCTGTAGTCCCAGCTACTCGGGAGGCTGAGGCAGGAGAATTGCTTGAACCCGGGAGGCGGAGGTTGTAGCTAGCCAAGGTCGCGCCACTGCACTCCAGCCTAGCACCTGGTGACAGAGTGAGACTCTGTCTCAAAAAAAAAAAAAAAAAAGTTATTTAAAAAGTGAAAACAAAACTTTGCGAGCCTGAAAAAATGTTTTCTCTTTATTTTGCATTTTAAAATTATAAATGTTGTTCATCCAAACATTGGGATTGTAACTTTCCTGAACCTTTTCTTAAGGTATTCTTGTCCTCTTTTGACCAGAATGTATTAATTCTATGATAATAATTAAACAGTAGACTTACACATTTTTCACCTTGGGTTGTGTTCACACATACTTGTTCTGTAGATTTTCTATTCTTTTTTTTTTTCAAATTTTTTTGAGATGGAGCCTTGCTGTCTCACCCAGGCTGGAGTGTAGTGGTGCGATCTTGACTCACTGCAGCCTCCGCCTCCCAGGCTCAAGCCATCCTCTTACCTCAGTCTCCTGAGTAGCTGGGACCACAGATGTGCATCACCGCACCTGGCTAATTTTTATATTTTTGGTAGAGAAGGGGTTTTACCATGTTGCCCAGGCTGATTGATTTTCTGAGCTCAAGCGATCCGCCCACCTATGCCTCTCAGTGATTACAGGCATGAACTACCACACCCTGCCTAAATCCTTCATTTTAGTACCTCATTCCTTTACTCAGGAGTGAGAAAGGTGTCCAGATGTTTGTGACAATAGGGGAAAATTTTAAGAGTTTTGACAGTTATTGGGGGAAGAGTAGAATGTTTCCATACTCATACAGTTTCTTGCTATATGGCTGATATTTCTGTTTCTCTCCTAGCTCCTTAATGTACCTGCATTATTTCTCATGTTGCTCCTTTCATCTTCAAGCCAACCACAATGCCTCAAAGCCTTCTCAAACATTGGATCTCTCTGACTTCTTCTGCTATAGCTGTTCTGCATCTTTGCCTTTAAGGGCCAACTAGGATAGTTGCTCTATTTAAAAGTCCATAACCTTAATTATATCTGCAAAGGGCTTAACTTCAAGACATTCTTCATTCTGCCTCCCATATTAGTGATGTTGTTTCATAGGGTAGGGATCTAGATAAATTAGAGGAGGATGGGAAAGTTGGCTGGTTAATAATAGTGCTTAGTGAAGAGATTGTTATCAAAAGATATCTGTGACTCAAACACCTTCTTCCGTGACATTTTATGGTTATATTGCTATAAACTAGATAAACTAAGTGTTTATCGATCATCTAAAGTTTGACCAACTTATTGCAAGACAATCACCGGTCTGCCATTTGTTCATGTTTTAGGTAAAAAAGCTCGCACATTTGACTTGGAAGCAATGTTTGAACAAACTCGAAGAACAGCTGTGGAAAGAAGTCGGAAAACATTGGGTAAGAAGTTCAGATATTTGTCCTTTTATTGGTTTAATTATTATATATACCTTATGCAAATATATTGACAGTTAACAAGATAAAAAAGTTTTCAAAATTGTTAAAAGGACATATGTGCTTGTTCCTTTGCAAGCAGAACTTGAAGGCTTTTTTAAATTTTATTTTTAAACGTGGTAAAAGTTTTATCTAAGTAGGATAGGAAGATCTGAATAGTGAAATTTTCATTTTTTTTTTTTTTTTAATTTTTGGAGATGGAGTCTTGCTCTGCCACCCAGGCTAGAGTGCAGTGGTGCAATCTCAGCTCACTGTAACCTCCGCCTCCCAGGTTCAACTGATTCTCCTGCCTCAGCCTCCAGAGTAGCTGGGACTACAGGTGTACACTACCACACCCGGTTAATTTTTATATTTTTTGGTAGAGATATGGTTTCACCTTATTGGCCAGTCTGGTGTTAAACTCCTGACCTGGTGATCCGCCTGCCCCAGCTTCCCAAAGTGCTGGGATTACAGGCATGAGCTACCACGCCCAGCCTATTTTATTGTATTTTTGAGACTGAGTCTTGCTCTTTTGCCCAGGCTGGAGTGCAGTAGTGCCATCTTGGCTCACTGAAACCTCTGCCTCCCAGGTTCAAGCAATTGTCCTGCCTCGGCCTCCTGAGTACCTGATCACAGTTGTGCACCACCATGCCCACCTAATTTTTGTAAATTTTTAGTAGAGACTGGGTTTTACCGTTTTGGCCAGGCTGGTCTCAAACTCTGGACCTCAGGAGTTCCGCCTTGGAGGAATCGCCTTGGCCTCTGAAAGTGCTGGGATTATAGGGGTGAGCCACCACGCCTGGCCTAAGATCTTTTAAAAGTGTGTTCTATAAAGAAGGATTCTCAATTAATTTATAGAAATCAGAAAAGCAGTTTCTTTATCTCTCCTCCCCCTTCTCTCAGACTCTCATTTTTTTCTTTAGTGTTTATAGCAGAACCAATATTTGGAAGGCTGGGCCAGAGGTGAGTCTCAGAGCTGTAAACACTGTTAACTGTCAACCCAGACCATATAGAAAATTGAGACATAGAGTGAATGTGGCTGCCGCTGTTCAATCCCTGTATAAGACATTTAACGAAGGCCTAATTTCCAGACTGGTTTGATACTAGATGGTTGGCCATTCTAGATACCACCTCAGGGTCTTTGGAGGAGGCTGACTCTTCTGCTCTCTTTGGATCCAATTCAGATCGTTCTTACATTAGAGAAGGGGTAGATGTAACTTCATAGTGCAGAAGGGGCCAGGAATCAGACAGGACTCCTGGAAAATTTTAATTTAAATGAACGTTTTTGGCTGGGTGCAGTGGCTCATGCCTGTTAACCCCAGCACTTTGGGAGGCTGAGGCAGGCAGATCTCTTGAGGCCAGGAGTTTGAGACCTGCTAGGCCAACATGGTGAAACCTGTCTCTACTAAAAGTACAGAAATTAGTTGGGCATGGTAGGCGCCTGTAATCCTAGCTATTTGGGAAGCTGAGGCACAAGAATTACTTGAGCCTGGGACGTGGAGGTTGCAGTGAGCCATGGTTGTGTCATTGCACTCCAGCCTCGGTAACATAGCAAGACTATCTCAAAAAAAAAAAAAAAAAAAAAAAAGAAAAGAATGTTGGCCAGTTACTGTGGCTCACGTCTGTAATCCCTGTATTTTGGGAGGCCGAGGTGGGCAGATCACTTGAGGTCAGAAGTTTGAGATGAGTGTGGCCAACATAGTGAAACCCCATCTCACTAAAAATACAATAATTAGCTGGGCATGGTGGTCGGTACCTGTAATCCTAGCTCTTCTTGAGAGTGAGGCAGGAGAATTGTTTGAATCTGGGAGGCGGAGGTTGCAGTGAACCAAGATCCTGCCATTGCAATCCAGCCTGGGGGACGAGAGTAGAAAAAAAAAAAAAAGAATGTTGTTATGCTACTTATCATTGTTGGATTTTTTTTTTTGAGATGGAATCTCTCGCTCCAGGCTGGTGTGCAGTGGCATAATCTTGGCTCACTGCAACCTCCGACTCCCAGGTTCAAGCAATTTTCCTGCCTCAGCCTCCTGAGTAGCTGGGATTACAGGCATGTGCCACCATGCCCAGCTAATTTTTGTATTTTTAGTAGAGACGGGGTTTCACCATACAGGCCAGGATGGCCTTAGTCTCTTGACCTCCTGATCCTCCGGCCTCAGCCTCCCAAAGTCCTGGGATTACAGGCATCAGCCAGCACACCCAGCCCATTGTTGGTTTTAAAATGATAAATTGGGCTGGAAGCAGTGGCTCATGCCTGTAATCCCAGCACTTTGGGAGGCTGAGGCGGGTAAATCACCTAAGGTCAGGAGTTTGAGACCAGCCTGGCCAACATGGTGAAAACCAGTCTCTACTAAAAATACAAAAATTAGCCAGGCATGGTGGTGCATGCCTGTAATTCTAGCTACCAGGGAGGCTGAGGCTGGATAATTGCTTGAACCCAGTATTTGGCAGTGAGCCTGACAAAAAATATTTTCAATCTTTGGAAGAAAATTCTTTTTGTGGTGAAAAGAAAGCTATCTACGTATACTATTTTTTGAAAAAAAACCCTTCATTATTATGTGAAATTTCAAACACAAAAGTATAGTCATGAACTACCACGTACCTGTCACTCAGATTTAACTAGTGTAATAGTTCATGGCTAGTGTTACTTCTGTCTATTTCCTCTCTTTCAGATGATTTTGAAGCAAATCCTGGACATCGTTTTACTCATAAATATTTTTGTATGTATCTTAAAATAATAAGAATTGTTTTTAAAAAAAGCCTAACCCAGATAACCATAAGAGATAGGAAATACCCAATTATGTCCTACCCTCTTATACTCCTCTCAGTACTTTATTATCTTTTTTTTTTTTTTTTTTTTTTTTTGAGATAGGGTCTCACTACTGTTGCTCAGGCTAGTTTGCAGTGGCGTGATCTTGGCTCACTGCACACTCAACTTTCCTGGCTCAGGTAATTCTACCTCAGCCTCCCAAGTACCTGGGACTATAGGTTGGTGCTACCACACCCGCAATTTTATTGTATTTTTAGTTGAGACAGATTTCACCATGTTGTCCAGGCCAATCTTGAACTCCTGGGTTCATGCAATCCACCTGCCTTGGCCTCCGCAAGTACTAGGGCTATAGGTATGAGCCAGTACTTTATTTCTGACACTAGACGTATAAGAGTTTTCCCCCACACATCAAGCAGTTCTCCAACTAGGTGTCTGGTAACTCACTTTAATTCAGAAACTGTCTGTCCGGAGACTACCACAATACCACAAGAGTCACAGGTTGTGACCAGCGCTTTTTTTTGAGATGAAGTCTCGCTCTGTCACCCAGGCTGGAGACCCATCTCAGCTCACCACAACCTCCGGCTCCCGGGTTCAAGTGATTCTCTCCTGCCTCAGCCTCCTGAGTAGCTGGGATTACAGGTGCGTGCCACCATACCCGGCTAATTTTTGTATTTTTAGTAGAGGTGGGGGTTTCACCATGTTGATCAGGCTGGTCTTGAACTCCTGACCTTGTGATCTGCCTGCTTTTGGGTCCCAGAGTGCTGGGATTATAGGCGTGAGCGACCGCTGATGGTATGATGAGTGCTTCTAATCAACTTGTTTTAAATCAGAGTTCCCATGACCCCTCTCCCTGGTTTGATAATTAGCTAGGACGGCTCACAGGGAAACAACTTAAGTTTAACAGTTTATTATAAAGGATATTATAAAGATACACATGAACAGCCAGGTGAAGTAATGCATTGGGCAGGTTATGGGATGGGAGAGGTGCAGAGCTTCTGTGCCCTCTCTGGGTGCATCAACTCCCCAGCCATTCCCCTGTGTTCAGCTACCCTGAAGCTAATCATATCTAGTGGTTTAAGAGTGTCCAGGCTGGGTGCAGTGGCTCACACCTATAATCCCAGCACTTTGCGGGGCCAAGGTTGGAGGATCACTTGAACCCAGGAGTTTGAGACCAACCTGGGCTAACATAGTGAGATCCCTTTCATACAGAAACTTAAAAATAAAATTAGCTGGGCATGGAGGTGCACATCTATAGTCTCAGCTTCTTGGGAGGCTGAGGTGAGAGGATCACTTGAGCCGAGAGGTTGAGGCTGCAGTGAGCCGTGATCATGCCACTGTATTCTAACCTGAATAACAAAGCAAGACCCTGTCTCAAAAAAAAAAAAAAAAGTTTCTATAGAGCTTAATTTCCAGCTTCCCCAGAGACTGGTGGGTGGGAATGAAAGTTCCAATTATCGCCGGGCACGGTGGCTCAAGCCTGTAATCCCAGCACTTTGGGAGGCCGAGGCGGGTGGATCACGAGGTCAAGAGATTGAGACCATCCTGGTCAACATGGTGAAACCCCGTCTCTACTAAAAATACAAAAAATTAGCTGGGCATGGTGGTGTGTGCCTGTAATCCCAGCTACTCAGGAGGCTGAGGCAGGAGAATTGCCTGAACCCGGGAGGCGGAGGTTGCGGTGAGCCGAGATCGCGCCATTGCACTCCAGCCTGGGTAACATGAGTGAAACTCCGTCTCAAAAAAAAAAAAAAAAAAAGAAAGTTCCAATTATCTAACCAGTCAGTCTTTTTGGTGAGCAGCAGTCCTATCCTGAGGCCTAGGGATCCCACACTAAGTCACCTCAATAGCATAAACTCAGGTGGGATCCAAAGGGGCTTCTAGTGACTAACAAAAGTCAGCTCCTATCACTCAGGAAATTCCAAGGGTTTTAGAAGCTCTGTGGCAGGAACCTGAAACAACAAGACCAAATATATTTCATGTTATACTACAGTATCATCACATGAAGAAACAACTTTAATATCCTCAAATGATACACAAGGACATGCTATCTGAGGCATCTATAAATGTTTTAAACAATTTAGTGAATGTTTGTACTGTTACAGTATAGGTACCTTGTATTTACTGTTTTAGGCATGTAATACAACATGCTTTGAAAAGGATTGTCTAATTTGTCTGGGGCGACAGGCACATATCACCACTG